TATGTAATGAGCAGGGTCTAAACCATAATAATTTAAGCACATATCCCTAAAGTTTTCAAAAACATCACTAAGCAAATAAACATCTGTCATCAAATATAAATCATGGTAATAACCTAGGTTTTTGATATTGAAATTATCCCATATTACTTTTGCCCTTGTGTGTTGTGTATCTGTTATGCCTTCTTCATATAATTGACTGTAAAAGTCTTCTATACTTGGTAATTGCGATTCATTGAATTTATCAAATGAATTCATGTAGTCGTAAGGATAAACTCCTTTTTCAGTTAATAAGTCTAAATCGGTTTTATTTCTAATATATGGATTTGCTGATGAAAATCGGAAATTATCCTCCCAGTCATTCCGCTTTTTATATATAGGTTTATCATGTTCATCTTTACCTACTATGTCATATTTATTTAACTTAACTAATTTATCCAAAGATGCTGAGAGAAAAGCCATGCTATCTTTAAACTGTAATGAACCAAATGAAAATGTAATAAACTTTTCGCTATTTTGTGCTATTACATCTATTCTCTTATTTTCGTTCAATTCCTTATTTATTTCATTTGCTTTGCCTATGATTAAGTGAGAGTCATAGTTTTTTAAATTATGAAAAAATACTGGTATCTTGAAATATCTAAATGAATAATCCAAATTACATTTTTCGTGAGCACAACCTCTATACTCACCAGTAAAATGACAGTGGTCTCTGACTTTTGTATCTTCTGGTTTAAAATTCTTATTACATATTGAACATACAGTAGCTTTTCTAAATTCTGCTTCTTGTTCATCTGTAATATCCATTGGTTTATTAACATTCATTTTATCAAAAATATCTTTTTTAATTTCTCTTAATTTATTTACAAAGTGGTCTAAACAATCCTCTCCACGGTATAAAAAAGGTTGACTTGTATTATCAATAGAATTTACAACATTCAACATATAACCGCATGGTTTATGTTCCTGATACGTGCCCTTGATGCCATTATTTGAATTTACAGTTATACACTCAAAATCTCCATAAACAACAAATGGACATTTTAATTTTGTATTGTGTTTTTCAAATTCAATATAACTACCTTCTTTTGGTAATTTAAACTGTTGTCCGTGTGTTGCCATACAACCAGTTTCATAATGTTTTGTTAATAAATCCTTTCTAGTAAAAGCGTGAGAACAATAATGACAATAATGTTTTGGTTGGTCATTTTTGTTTGTTTGCCAGTTCATTAGACGACTTAGACTTTTAATAACTACATAATGATTATTATTATTGATTTCAATTTTCAAAAGGTTTATTTGATGTTTAGCATCTCTTGTTTTAGTTCTGTAATCAATTATAATTTTCTTTTCATTCAAAGTATCATCAATTTCATAAACATTGATTGAAACTAACTTACTATTATTTTCTTCAAACCTTTCAATATCTTTATTACCAGTTGGAAATTTAACACCTTCCCAGTTTAATATATTGTCGTTTAATTTGTTGTAATGGAACATTTCTTGGGAATTTGATTTATTAATTATATCAAACACTACACTTTGAACACTATATTTAAAACATTTGTTATCTTTGTTTTTGATATTAATACATGCCTTTTTTAGTTTAATCCATTCTGGTAAATCTATATAACTACCCGCCCTAGTAGGGTCATATTTGTCATAATGGATTGTTATTGATAATATTTTTTTAAATTGTAAATTAGACGCTGAACCTTCTAGTTTCTCTATGTTCAATAAAATCTCTTTGATTGATTTTTCAATTGCTTCATCCAAATCGGTTTCATTATATATGTTTGCCCTTGTTGCAGGTAAATTATAAAGTATCTCTGTATGTTTTATTACTCCATCATCATTATAATAATGATAAAATAAACCTTCTGCCCTTATATTCAGTTTCATAGCTCTATTAGTTTTCAAAAAGGTTAAAAGTCTATCTTTTTGGTGGTGTATCATTGATAGTGCCTTTTCACCTTGAAAATGTTTATTTACTAGTTTTATAGAATTAGCATAACTTTTGAAAGCTGATTGTTGGTCTGTTATTCTGAATTTGTTTTTGATTGCATATTTTGTCATTGCATTTTTCATTCTTTGTTTTAGGTATGTTGAGCGCAATGTTTTTGTTGCATAACTATTATACTCATTAGTTCTTGCTTCTGATTTTAATTTCTTGTTCAAATCATTTGAGATGGGTTTTTCTTTGTTGTATCTAAATTTTCTACCATCTATAATTATTGATTTTAATTCCTTGTTTCCTCTTTTTGGAATTTCCGCTTTATCATTATTCAACAGATAATCTATAACATGTTTCATAATACTATACTATATAAATTTAATGTGTTTATTTCTTTAAGTGGCTTTTAGAAAAATATACTTAAAGATTTAATACCTTAATATATTATAAATAGAAATGGTTGAATTTACTAAAAAAGAGCAAGAAGAAATTATTAATGACTTTTTGAATAAAATAAAAGTTAATGACATTATCAGTAGTTGTAAATGTAAACTAATAAATGAAAAAACTGGACTAACTAAGTTAAATTTACCTATTCCAATTGTTAAAAACATTTGTGATTTTAATTATGTTGAATGCGAGAAATGTGTTTTATTAAGAAATGCAAAGCAAGTTTTACATAAAAGTAATTTACATTCAACATTGAGACAATGTATTTATTATAAATACAAATTGAAATTTGAAGAAAATACATTTCTAAATGATGACTCATCATTAAGAACATATTGTTTTATAAAGTTAAATACATTTCCTACATATGAAAAAGTGAAAAAATATATACTGCAAGATAACGAAACATATATTTTAAAATTTTATAATGATATTAAATATTACTACGAAAAATCATATGAAGTTAGGTATGGTGGCAAAACTGGAACAACAAGACCAATTGAAGAATTTAATAATAAAATGATATTTAAATTTATTGATGAGTATGATTTATCAAATAATAAAATTGAAAATGATTGCAAGGAAACATTTTTAAACTACATAAAACAAAGAAACCAAGAATTGAAAATCATAATTGATAAAATATGTGATTATATTAAGGATGAACAGAAGAACAATACAATAGGTAAATTAATATATGGTGATGTGATAAATGATATTAAAAGTGTTTTAGGAAACTGGGGCATAGATTTTTGCATTTATGATTTTGCTGATAGAAAATATCCATTTAAAAATAATAAACAGAACTTTAAACAAATACCAAAGATTACAAAGGAATATTTAAATACTAATGACTTTGATTAAAACCATACTATAATAATAACATGTAAAATTTTATATGTTATAATTATACTAAACTTATGGTTTGTTTCTTATTTTTTCTTAATGCCTTAAAAATGACTTAAAGAAATAGTGCCTTAATATATTAAGATAGAAATGAACGGTGATAAAATCAATAATTATATCAATAAAAAATGCTATGATTGTTGCCACTTCAAAAAAGAAAATATGGAATTGTATAAATTAAATTTACCTAATGGAATAATAAATAATATTATTGATTATTCAATGGATGAAGAATATGTATGTGAAAATTGTAAAACCTGGAGAGATAATCAATTTTTAATCAAATGCTTGTTGAGAATAAAAGGAAGACATAATAGAAATGTAGAAGATGATATTTTAATATTTCTAACTGTAAATAAAATACCACCTTACGATTATGTTAAACAGTTTCTTAAAATCAGTAAGAAAAAATATGACATGATTTATGATATATTATGGATGTTGGGATATAGTCAAGAGAAAGGAGAAGATGTTAAAGAAAATATCAAATTATTTATTGAAAGTAAAAAGTTTAATATTCAAAATACATTGAGAGATATTAATATTATTTTTAAAATGATGTATGAAAGAAGAAAGATTTGTCAATTAAATTATTATCCTGTACTGAAATTGTAATCATACTATAATAATAACATGTAAAATCTTATATGTTATAATTATACTGTACTTATAGTTTGTAAAGATTGAAATATTTTATTTTTTCTTGATTTGGCTGACTCTTTCAAAGTGCGTTGTTTGAACTTGGTATGCTCTTTTGATTTTTTCGTGCTTTGGCTGTTTGTATTTTATTTTGTTTGATACTCTTCTGATATTTTTTGTTAGTATGTTGCTTTGTTTTTGTTGATGTGTGTTTTTGAGATTGTGTTCTTTGATGGTTTTTATTTTTGCTGTTTTGTTGGTATGCTTGTTTGAATTATTTAATGTTTTATGCTTTGATTAAATATTTTGTTGGGGGTTGTTCTGGTTTTTTAGTTGCTTGGTGGTTCTTATCTTGTTTTCTGTGAATTTTGCTGATTTTGTTGTATGCTGTTTGAATATTTGGTTTTGATTTTAGAAGTGCCGTTTTATGTATTTTTTGGGGGGGGGGCTTGAACCTTCTTCCTTTTTTGGGGGAGGAGGGGGGGGGGGGGTAGTTTGTGGGGGGTGGTTTTGGGGGGAGGGGTTCGGGGGTTTCCCCTCCACGTCCATTCGTCCTTGGGCGGTTTTGTTGGCGTTCCCCAGTTGGCCTTTGGTCCCCTTCTTGAAGTTCCCTTCAGTGTCCGCTGGGCTTCCCTCGCCAAGCCGTTCTGCTGAAGTCACGGGGCGGTCGCGTCTGAAACGTGTGTTCGCGGTTCTTTTTTTTCCTGAGGGTACCCGGGTACCCCCTTTTTGAACTGTGTCACAACGGAAACCAAGGGGAAAACCGTCACTTCAGGAAATCAAAAGGTTCGGGCCCCCATTGTTTTCGACAAATGCCAGGTCAGCGCTGCAAATGCAGAGCCCTTGTTGGAATTCGCACCCCCCCTCCCCCTCCCCACCCGTACCACACAACAAGGATGCCTTGGATTGAACAACCCAGCTTCAAAGCAAAACAGAAACTCGGGACGGAAAGAAGAAAAAAAAAAAAAAAACGGGAATCCTCTATGTCAAGACGCCCCCCACACAGGTGATTGCCGCACAAAAAGAACTGAAAAAACCAGCCGCAAAAACGCGCCTGGCGTCTTCAAAATCCAGCCCGGGCGGAGCTCGTTGGCGACCACTTCCTGCCATTTTCCAGTGTCCAGTTTAACCCGGCCCAGATGTTGCCTAACCTCCATTTGCTTGCTCGCCCCCTGGAAAAAAATGAAAGTATGTCCAGTAGTGAAATCGATACCCTTGAAAAACCAACAGGGAAAAGAAAAACAAATCATACATCATATTTCAGGAAATGGAAGCTAAAGGTCCAACTAGGGTGGTGAACCAGTGAACAACTCCCAAAACACAACCTGGGTTTAAGTCGATCTTGGGGTAGTCAGAAAGACCTAGTTACCAGCCCTGTACCGTACCAGATGGCTCGGCTCAAACGGCGGGGTTCGAAGAAATCTTGGGGCAAAGAAATAAGGGGGGCCAACTCCAAAAAAAGATGTTTCAACAAGTTAGCCCAACTCTGGGCTTTTCGAACGGCTTGAGCCGCTTGCTTCCATGCTCCATGCAAAAGAGGTGGTTTCAAGGATATCCAAGAGGAAAACCCGCAATTTCTTGGCGCCTGGAGAGGGAAAAAAGGAAGAAAAAGAGAAGAAGAAAAAAACAAAACATATTTGAAGCCAAATTTCGAGACCCCAAAGGCACCTTTCGATGGGACTTGGGGGAATGGTCCGAGCAAACAAACTATGAACCCTTCAGCAGGTTCCACCTTTGGAGGTCCAAAGCGGGGGTTTGAATGGAGGGACCGGGACCGAATCCACGTCACATCCGCACGTCGCACATCGCACTTGTTGACCAAACTTCAGGCCTCCTTGTACTCCTCGGAGGGCATCATAGACACCGCCTCGCAAGTCTTTGGCTCGGCCGCCAGACCCTCGGCCTTTTTTTTTGTCGGGAATCCCAAAAGGAGATGGTTTCAACAGCGGCTTCGAGTGCTTGGTTCAAGTCTTGCGTTTCGTTTCCGACTTAAAACCTCGCCAAGGGAAAACTCACCCCCCCTCCACCGCGGTCAAAAGACCAGAGCTTCACCTCCAGGTTGGGAAAAGTACCATCCATGTCCTGCTCATTTGCTCGTCTCGACCCAGCCGGCTGTTGGCTTAAGCCTCGTGGAGCTCTGGGTTGAAGACCTCCCCCACACTCACCTCAGACCGGTGACCAGGGCTTGGCTCGGGGGGGTTGGGGCCGGGGGTAACTCCTCATGGCTGTGTCTTTTGGTTGATGGAAAACAGAACTGGCAAAATGGGGTTCGAGATCGACTCAGCGAGTGGATGGGCGAGCGGCGAGCGGAGCAAAACACGGGCCTGGCAGCGAAACCCTGCAGGGGCTGGTCAACCTTCCAGCCCTTGGCAGCCCTCGAAAAGGAGAATGTTGTTTTAAGAATCCTCACTGGAAATAATCTCTGAGACTGGGGGATTGCAACTTTGAAACACCAGAGTCATATTAGTCATGTTCGTGCGTCGCAAGGAGTCCACCCAAAACCATTTTATGGCAAAGGTGATGTCCCCTCACACTCACTTTCGGATATGTTGACTGCTTTCATGGCAGGTAAGAAGAGAAGTGGACTGGGCAAAACCGCTCGGAGTGATTGCGCTTCGATTGCCTCAATCGATTCCCCTGTATCGTGATTGCCCTGAGGAAACGAAGGCGACAGGAACAGATCAAATGAAGTGATTCGCTGGAGGAACAGCAAGAGAATCCCATTGCATGGGAAGGGCCGTGGCAAAATGAGGACGAAGTCCCTCCGTTTTCCAGTCTGGAGAAACAAGAACAAAAGGAACACAAGAAAACGGGCTACCCGCGAAATATCAAAGAGCCCCTCCCCCCACCCCCAAAAAAGAGAAACCATCCAATCGACTCGCTTCAACTCGAAGACCGATTCCAACTCGAACACATTTTTCCGTGCTAAGGCGCCATCTTCTCGATTCCCAGGCTCTTCCAACTCTGCAGCATCTTGTCAAAGAGCGCCTCGAAGGTATCCACCACCGACTTCTGGCCTCGGTTTCGGAACCGCTTTCGGTCCATCTCACAACCCGGGCCAAGTCGATGGGCAGAAGCCGGGGCGAAACAAACAAAAAAAAGGCGGCCGGAGCGCAGAGAAGTTGTGGTGTGTTTTTTTGGGATTGTGTTTTTTGTTTTCTTTTGGGGGGGGCTATGGGGAGCCAAAGGTTGCTGAGTTGAAGGTGTTTTTCTTGGGCTGCCAACCCTTTCAAGAGGGGCCTGGAACAAAACGCAGAACCTCAACCTCAAGTTGGGCGTTGAGCTTGCCATACTGTGGATGCCCTAAATGGCCCTAAATATTGCCAAGTCAGGAACAAGGCTCTAATTTACCGTGTGTTACCCTGGTTTTTTCTGTTTGAGTATGACATCACGAGGCTCCCTTCCTCCATTTCTGGTTGCCAAACCCGCCCCACTCTCAAGGATCCGGGTGTTCCAAACATCGCCCCAAACCCAGGCAACATGAAAAGAACGATGGGGGAACGGAACGGGGAACCCTTTGTCTCTGTCATGAAGGTCTCCAAAAAACCAAGGCCCCGTGATTTATCGTTCCCAAGATCACCCCCCCGAAAAAAAAGTGGTTGAAGGGAGGCACACTAGTCTTGATAACCCCCAGAAACCGTCAAAATAAGGATACCTTTTTCAAACCGGAAAACCCCAATGTGGGTGTGGCTCAAATTAAACAGGAGGGGTTACGCAGGTTTTGGTCCATGTGTCCACTTGCCAGGGTTCCATTTTGGTACCGGTCTTTTGAGCCACAGCCATGTGGCTCGCGCCATTTTGAGTCACATACTAAAATAAGGGGTTTTTGCCTCCCAAATTGGGTCCTCCAAAATTGCGAGGGATCACTTTTGGGCTTCCCCTAAGCACCAAAAGTGGTTGAAACGAAAATCCCATGAGCAACCTCCTCCTCCATCTCTTAATTGCTGTTTATCTCTTTGCAGGTTCAATTCGTAAACCCAACTTGATTTGAATGAAAAAGTCAAAAAGTCTCAAGATTCGTTACCCAATTGCAACCAACTCCATCTCCCAAAATTTCCTCCGAAATGGCAAGGCGTCACTTCTGGGCTTCCTTTCTTTCAACACGAAAAGGGGTCCCCTGCAAATGCCAACAAACGTTATCGTTTCCCATATATATCTATATATATATAGACTGGTTATGTTCTACATACGTGTGAAACTGCTGTATACGTTTCGTACACACACATATATATATATATATATATATTTGTTTATATAAACCACGGGGGCCGTCGGTCTCGACGTTCAAGTTCTTCTTGGCGTATTCGAACTCGTCCGCAATGGGCAGCAGCTCTTGGACCAGAGGGATCGCAGCCTGACGGGCCCCGAAGCCGAAGTCTCTCGGCCCCGACGGTTGTCCTGAACCTTCTGCTTGACATGCCAAAAGGGGGCGGTTGGTCTCTGTTGGGCTCAAAGAGCTTGAAATGCGCCTACCGTGGATGGACGAAACTCTGCCCAGATGGGCATGTGTCAAAACTCGGGTGCGGGGGGCTCAAAATAGTAGACGGAAACTAAGCTGCAAAATGAGCTGTGTCCAGTTGGTGTCCCTTTGAAACACCTGCAAACATGGGACCAACTCACAAGAAACAAAGACATCCCCCAAATGGTTCCCATTTGTCTTGGAATAGGGAACCCCCAAAGTCGGTGAGCTCCGTCTTGCTTCACTTGGGCACAGCAGGGCCTGGAAAGCCCACAAAACAACTCAGCAGACAACTAGATCCAGAGCCTAACGGGTATGCCTGAGGGAATGTGAAAAATTCAGCTGAAAAGGGAGATATGGTTTCTGAAACCTAACTTTGAGAAAACAGACAGACAGGCGTGTGTTTTCTTGAACTTTTGGTCTAAGAGTCAGGGACACCAACATGTTGGATCAACTTCTTGCCTGGTGGGTTGGAACCCGGAAGAACCGCCAGGTCAAATCCAAATCATGTGAGGATTACCAAGGCCTGTTCCTCATGGAATCCGAATTTGTACCAACCCGGGGCTCGAAGCAACCGCCCCTTGGGGTGGTTCACTCCAAAAAACAGCCCGGCCCATCGCGGCCTTGCCCCGGGCCGCGGCCAGCTCCGACTTGGTGCGCTGCCGGAAGTTGTCGATCTCCATCTTCAAGCGCGAGTGCGCGCCCCGCTTCTCCTCGATCTTCTCCTTCAGATCCTGGAGGAAATGAATTCATGTGACTCCCGCGCAAGAATTTGATGCGGGGAAACAAATCCCCCAAATTGGCCAAGTGGACATGACCATCATTCAGAAAAACATGAAAAAAAGTTCACTTCACACCAGGTGAGATGGATGAACTCCCCCCCCCCCAAAAAAAAAAAAGACAAACCTCCCAAGCCCAACCCCGGTGCTCGGCCAATCCACGGGGTCGAACCCCCTGCGGCACCTTGATCTCCGAGCTGAGCTTCTCGACGTTGGCCCGCGCCGCGTCCGACAGCTCCTGCTCAGCCGGAAGTAAGGAATTCTCGGGGTTTTCGGGTTTTACTCCCAAGGCTCATGACCTCTTGTACCAAACCTACGACTTTAGTTGCGGTCCATACTTAGTGAATGATGTCAAAAGAGGGGCTCCTGTACCAAACCTACGACTTTCATTGCGGTCCATACTTAGACTGGAAAAGTGATGTCAAAAGAGATGGCTCTATCAAACCCACGACTTTAGCTATGGTCCATACTTAGTGAATGATGTCAAAAGAGGGGCTCTTGTACCAAACCTACGACTTTAATTACGGTCCATACTTAGACTGGAAAAGTGATGTCAAAAGAGATGGCTCTATCAAACCCACGACTTTAGCTATGGTCCATACTTAGTGAATGATGTCAAAAGAGGGGCTCTTGTACCAAACCTACGACTTTAATTACGGTCCATACTTAGACTGGAAAAGTGATGTCAAAAGAGATGGCTCTATCAAACCCACGACTTTAGCTATGGTCCATACTTAGTGAATGATGTCAAAAGAGGGGCTCCTGTACCAAACCTACGACTTTCATTGCGGTCCATACTTAGACTGGAAAAGTGATGTCAAAAGAGATGGCTCTATCAAACCCACGACTTTAGCTATGGTCCATACTTAGTGAATGATGTCAAAAGAGGGGCTCTTGTACCAAACCTACGACTTTAATTACGGTCCATACTTAGACTGGAAAAGTGATGTCAAAAGAGATGGCTCTATCAAACCCACGACTTTAGCTATGGTCCATACTTAGTGAATGATGTCAAAAGAGGGGCTCTTGTACCAAACCTACGACTTTAATTACGGTCCATACTTAGACTGGAAAAGTGATGTCAAAAGAGATGGCTCTATCAAACCCACGACTTTAGCTATGGTCCATACTTAGTGAATGATGTCAAAAGAGGGGCTCTTGTACCAAACCTACGACTTTAATTACGGTCCATACTTAGACTGGAAAAGTGATGTCAAAAGAGATGGCTCTATCAAACCCACGACTTTAGCTATGGTCCATACTTAGTGAATGATGTCAAAAGAGGGGCTCTTGTACCAAACCTACGACTTTCCTTGCGGTCCATACTTAGACTGGAAAAGTGATGTCAAAAGAGATGGCTCTATCAAACCTACGACTTTAACTATGGTCCATACTTAGTGAACCTTGACTGGGAAAATGATGTCACAAGAGATTTCAAGGGGAGGGCAGGAAGAGGGGTGCAAACCGAGTCTTCCAGATTGCGTAGTCTAAACCATCGCCCATCCTTTCGGAATCGGAACCCCCCCCCTCTAACATGGGTCAACGGGTTCCTGTTGGTTTCCCTTTAAGGAAGGAGCTCGACTTCCACTCAAAAACATATTTGGTTTCCGCTACACCCTTTGTAGCGTGCCCTTCAAAACATCACCCAGCAATATCCTAAAAAATGAAGCATACCTGCTGCTTGAACCCCCGGACTCAGCGTGAAGAACTCAGCAAACGAGGGAACAGAGCCGTCCTGGCAACGTGACTTGTTGGACAGAAATGCTTGGCATACCTCCAAGCTTGTTCAAACAATTTTCAAAGTAGCAGTCTGTAAGATGAACCAATTGGAAGTGGACTTAAGGAAAAAGGCCTAGTGTCCTTTTGCTTTCTTTCACCCAATGGCATTGACCTCCCAAATCCCCCAAAAAGCCCGTGCCTCCAGATCTGCCTCCTCCAACTCCGCCTCGGCCTCCACCGACCTCCGTGCCGTCGGTCTCAGGCTTCTTCGGGTGGGCTGAAACCTGAGATGGAAACTCGAAATCCGCGCGCCTCGTCTCAGGGCGCTTTCTGAGCTTCTGGCTGGCTTCACCCATGAAGACACCCCCGGTTGATGCATATATTAAGAAAGTGGCAGTCTCTTGGGTGCAACCTGTGTGGAGGACTTGGACTTGCAGCGATCCTAGGCTTGTCGCAAAATTTGGGCACCGCGAAAAAAAAATAAAGGCGGTGTGGCCTTGGCGTTCCCAGGCTCGAGGCCCATCCAAAAAGCTGGCTCCCTCAAACCAAATCACATCATCTCTGTGCTGTGCCACTTCTGGAGGCCAAAAAAAAAAACCGGCTCCCTCGCCGAACCAGGCGAGGCCCCTCTGTGAACTCAGACCCCCACCCCTCTGTGAACTCTCACCCCGCCCGGTCTGCCGCCACCGCCCCCAGCCGGTCTGCAGTCCGAGCGGCTGCCCCAAAAACCCCAGCTGGGTGGCCAGGAGCGCCAGGAGAACCCCCAGTTTGCACCGCCGGGCCATGGCGAAGTCCGAAGTCCCCGCCGCGCTCTCGAGAGCCCACGCGTCTGGAATTCCCGCCCCTTCGCGGACGACGCCCCCTGGTTTTTGAGCCCCAAAAAGGACAAGCCGCGGTGATGCGCTGATGCACTCACATGGTTCTGTTGGTGATTTTGCAGGGTGAAGGACACATCTTAAACTCTTTGCAGGGAACGCGGGGAATAGAATTACAATCGGATTTAGGGTGGCCTGTGCAGTTCCTTCCAGAACTATGTGTGTTCTTTCAAAAAAGGATGTGTTTTTTTGGTGAATTTACTTACAGTTAGGTGAAAGGTGGCACACCCCAATTCATCCACCATAGCCGGCAAATGCCAACCAATCTAAGGGGTGCCATTCAATCGTTCCGGGAGCCAAAAAAAGTACATGTCAACGGGGGGGTGTTCCCCCCAAATAAAAAAGAAAAAGAGTGGTTGTCCTTGTGGCATCCCTTGAGACCAACCTGGCAACTAAGAGGGTGCCCTTGAAGCCCTTGAAGCTGGACGCAACCGGGAATACAAGTATTCCTGAAAAAGGTGTACAATTTCTGCGCTTGAAATGACAGCTGGGTTCGCCTCTCCCATCGCTAAGCTGCCCACTTTCACTGTGGTCCGAGTCGGTCCATCTGCGCGAGAGCTCGACTCTTGCTCTGGCTTCTGAAAGATGGAGATCCCTTTTAGCCGGTGAGCCCATACTGAGAAGCAGCTAGCTGAACATTGGCGACCCTAGAAACCATCCCCAAAAAACAAATAATAATAATGATGATAATAATACCAAAAAAATGGTTGGGGTGAAGCAAGATATATCTCTTCCCCGACTCCAGGCCTACGCACACCTCCACTCAAAAAGATGGCATCGGCAAGACCCTGCCCTATCATCTGGGTGAATTATTCTATATTTCACTGTGAGGTCGCAACAATTCACCCAGTATCATGATGGACAACCTTAATATGAAGCCCCCCACCATCCCTCTATCAAGCTTTGATTCCGGTTCAAACTGTGTAATTAAACCCAAACATGTACAACTCTCTGCCCGAGTGGATTGGCCACAGGACTTAACTTGGATGTATCACACAAATGGCCCCTTCCCAATAAGTGCAAAGTCCCAAGTGCAATGTCCAGGAGCTTGTTGGAAGTGCGAAAGGTGTGTCTTCTTTTGAGGGTCCCCATTTCACTATTTTTATTTATTTACTTGATTGTTTAAACGTCGCGCCCTTCTGGGCACCCTTCTGAAGAAAAACACCCCCATAAAATACCTTGAAAAGGGGAATGAGATTCAGACTGATACTAGAAACCATCCAACTGGTTTCCCTTCAGACGCCCATGCCTGGGTTTATTCCCCGGAGGTCCTCCGAGGCTCAAGCTTGGAAGAGCTGCTGGTCTCGCAAATGTCGGGCCTGATCCGACCCAAGTTGACACGAGCAACCCCGGGTCTATAGACTCAGAACCACGCGGGAAATACTGTGGATGGACAAGACGAAGAAACCTGGAATATTGATGCCACTGTAAATGCCAACAAACAATGGTGCCTCATGGCTGCTTAGGTGGTGGACGACATTCTGCACCACCTAACAAACGGAATAATGATTCCCCTGTAACTACCAATGAGCAATGGTTTCCGTTCATTGCAATATGGTACAGGATTCCGTCCATCCACAGTATGGGGGTCAACAGCTCCGACAACTCATGGGACCGTTGGCTGGAAAACAAACTCCATCGCAAAAAAAGCTACCTGTGGACATTTGAGGGCCAGGAGTGTTGATCAACACCTCTTTGCTGGATCAACCAGGCGCCCTCGTCAATCTTTCTGAGCGAAGTTGCTGGGGCATGACAAGCCGCCGGAGGGCCTAGTGGTTCAAATGCGCTTCAAATTGTTTTAGCCCCGGAGCCAGGTAAAAAATAAACCAACACAAAACGGCCGATAAAGGCGGAACAAAGACTTGCTGGGAACATGATGTATCTTGTAAAGGATCTGAGTGCACACGCCCAAGCTCTGACTTTGTTGCAGCGAAACAACGAAACCAGCATGCCTAGCCAGGCCCATGAAAGCACTGAAGAGAAAGCCCGGTTGAAGGAGGCCTCTTGCATAGGCTACTTCTGACCCTGGTAGAAGTCTTCATAGGAGAATGCAAGAATCCCCTGTAGGATGTGTTCCCCACTCTGTATTTGCTTGTCGGTCATTCCTGTCCAGGACTTGGCTTAACTCAGGCCTTTTGGAAGAAATCCTTGTGGGTAAACTCCAAAAATGACACCTCACGGGGCACCTCAACATTTGAAGTTTTCCAATCAAAACTCCCAACTTGGCCAAAAAAACGAAAAACAAAGAAAGACGATACGCTCTAGACGAAAGGCGCCCCAACAACCCATCCAACGGGCATCCGCGCCATGCAGGCGGCAGCAAAAAGGCTACCTGGCGGCCCGGCTGGGGTGGGGTGGTGGGGTTTGGGGGGCTTGGGGGGGTTTGGGGGTTGGGAAGGTTGGGGGGCTTGGGGGAGGGGGTTGGGGGGGCGCTTGGGCGGTTGGGGGGGGTTGGCATCTCAACTTAAACCCAGCCAAATAAGGGGTTGCAAGCATTTGGCTGCAAGTTCGCGCGAAAATATGCCAATGGAGCCCCGAGAAAGAAGCCTTGACGTCGCAATCCTGACGGCGCTGACGTATGTAACGTACAAAGATCAATGAATCTGCGTTTTGCAATGGCAGAAAGGTTGGCCCATCTTGTTGTAAGAGCAATCTTGGCCCATCTTGGCTTTAAACATGCTTGGTTCCATTCTTGGCTGGTCTTGACCTGTGGGTTGCCTTGCGAGAAAGAAACACCAGCAAAGATGAAACGCTGCCTGGGAGGCAACAAGGTCGCCCCAGGATCCGGATCCTTCCCCACCTACCCCGCGCGACCTTCGCGCGCCTCAGGGCTTGGCCACAGCTCTTCCACTGCAAAATGACCTGCCGGGGGAGTTACCCTCCGAGGAAAGCTAACTCGGGCCATACCCCAAATGGACCGTTGCACATTGTGACGGAAGGCTCAGCTTGCAAAGGCGAAAAAATAGACCAGACAGGGAAGAAATGGGGAAGAGAAAGGGCATATCATATGAATGGAAAGTTAGGAAAGATATGAATGATATGCCTCTCTCCCCTCTCATTCACTTCTTCTTTCTTTATCCTTGCCTTTCATTCAATCATCTGTTACTATGGAAGGGCTTGGGCTTCTTTCTCGGTGAGCCCCATGATAGGGGCCCCTCCCTATAATAAGACCCTTCGAGGAGGTCAGCTTGCACTCCCAAACCATTGTTGGTAAACAAGGCACGCCCTCTTTCTGCAGTTGCGTGTCCTTGTTTGTTAAAAAAAAAAAAAAAAAAAAAAAAAAAAAAAAAAAAAAAAAAAAAAAAAAAAACGCAACAAGAGTTGCCACTCGCCTGTTGGTTCCAGTGATGGAACCAACTGGTTTACAGGGGAAGTACGCCTTTGGAAGACTTCCATGTACAACGGCCTTTGGGGAGCTTTCATGCTAGTCTGATGCATAAAGACCTCTTTGGGAGGGCCGCAGTTCGACCTCGGCTCCGAGGCATGGGCGGTCCCAATTCGGGAGCCGGACAAGGAGAGCCTCTGGCAGGCTAAAGGCGCGGTTGGCGCGGTTCAACCCCCTGATCTCAAAAAAGGAAAAGCTTGGCCCCCTTCCACCCAGCTGGATGAAACACGGCCTCTTTCAAAGGCGATCAGGACCTGGTTGTTTCGACCATGCCACCAACACTGATCTGCATTCATCGCTCTAATGAATTCACCGGCCATTCCGCAACTACATCTGGTGCCAGGTCAGGCTGTCGTGTACAACCAGCACATCAGGGATCGATGATGGGTCGTGTGGATCGGTTCGGGTCCTCGAAAATACCCATCAGGCTGCTGTTAACCCCCCTGATTCATACACCCGTCCTATTGACAGTAGGGGCCACAAGTGGTCTGAGGCCCAATCCTTTTTCAAAAATCAACCGGACAAGCCTCAAAGTGGGTCCAGAACGCGAGGGATGGAGTCTGAGTCTTCCCTGAGAGGAAAGTTGGGAAGCAGCCCAGAAAAAGCATGGCATTCCACCTCACAACCGGATTAGCAGATTCGCAGGGAGCAATGAATCCCACCCTCACAACTTGACGCCGCCTGAAGCGCATCCCTCGGGTTTCACCGGAGAAAGCTCGGGCCACAGCCCGCGAGAGGTGGCCGGACCTCGAGAGGCCAAGCTCAAACCTGTGATACCTGCGGTTTAGAGGATATCAATGGAGCCTCCCCAACCAAAAACAAAAAGATTTAGAGGAAAGTCTCCTTTTGGGTTTAACTTCGTTGACCGAACACAAGAACTTCTTAAAAAGTATGCGAGGGACCCCCTCGGCGCAAAAAGGAGTGTCCCAATTCGGAGTCTCTCGGCTCGTTGCTCTGTTTTGGGGGGGGGCATGCCACGTCCGCATCAAACACGACGGAAAAAGGGGCGTCCCAAAAGGCACGATGGAACAAAAAAAACGCCTCGTTTTGGAGTTCCCCGAGTTCTAAAAACCCAAAGGACGTCCTCGAAGAAAAAGAAGAAGAAAAAAAAACGCAGGACGTGAAACACCCAAATGACCTTGTGCTGGGCTCTCAAAATAGAAAAGTCCCCTTTCAATCATTGGTGCCCGAAGGCCCCCCTTCACAACACCAACCCAAAAAGGTCCAAAGCTTAAATTGAGGAACATTCTTATCAAAACATCACCCAAACAAAACAAGTGTTCAATGCACAAAACCATCTTGATGAAATACCCAAGTCACCCTATGAACCTGCCGGCTCGTCCACCAATGACCTTATGATCCTTATGGTGGTATGATGGGTTTCAAAACTCAACTCGCCGAAAGCAGCACCCGCTTGGTCCTCAAATGAGGCGGTTCCCTTGAAAACCAACCAAAACTAAACCAAGAGGCCCAGCAAGACTTGTCCAGATCTTGCCAAGGGGACTTAAAGGGATCAGGAAAACCAACCAGTCAACATGGGGTTCAGGGTCACTAGATTTCTTCAAACATTGCACTTTACTTGTGCTTTCGGTATGGAAACGCTCGCTTTCCATAAA